GATTCCCGGAACCAAAAAAAAAAAAAAAAAAGCCAAAGACAGATTTGAGCCTTGGGACCTTTATTAGCCTTCTGTTAGGAAGTATTTGTTGGCTGTATCTTCTTGCTCGCCACTTATTCATGTAAAAGATTCATGTAGGGGTTTAACAAAAGCAGCCTTCCCTTCCTGTCGGACATTGACAGATGTAGGTGTGGCTTTAACTTTTGGAAAGGGTTTTGCCTGTCCAGTAAGACTAGAGTTATCATTAGCTATAAACTTCTACCAAAAAAAGTCGACTACTAAGTAGCTTTATGAATATACTATAACGATCATCTCCTTATTAGAGAATCATTTCTGAACACCTCTCTTAAGACACAAAACTACCATTTCTTGGGCCAGGGATTTAGCTCAGTGGTTTCACTGCCTGCCTCGAAAGCACAAGGTCCCGAGTTTGATCCCCGGTACCCGCCCCCCCAAAAAACCCTACCATTTCTTCCATTTCCTATGCTAAAATAGTATAGTTTGACTTCTTCCTCCCTTCCTTCTTTGTTGGATTATTAGTAACATTTGATATGGGAAAAAAGTATAGTATTTTGGTGGTTGGTGTAAAGAAAGACGTGTCCCACTGAAAAGTCCTTGCTTGGCCTTTTTCCACTTAGGGTGTATGTTTCCGAGTCTCTCATTCCCAACGCTGGGGAAGGACTGTTTTCCAAGGTGGCGATGGAACCTAACACTGTTGTGTCTTTTTACAATGGAGTCCGAATTACACACCAGGAGGTGAGTGTTGAAGCAATGAAAACATGTGTGACTGGTTTCAAACAAGCTCCCTTTCGGGTTCCACGTCTACCTCACCCAAAGTGGGCCAGTGCATCCATGAGACGGGGACTGCTGGCTACCAGACAGCACCTACTATGAGAAGCTGAGGCCCGATCAGGTTGTCCATAGCTAATTAACAACCGGGGACCAGGTGCATTATAGGAAGTTTCCCTACTTCCGTTGGTGCAAAAGCCACATGTCTTGTTTGGGGTTTTTTGTTTTGTTTTGTTTTTGGTACCGGGGATAGAACTTGGGTCCTTGCACTTGTGAGGCAGGCCACAGAACCACGGAGCTAAATTCCAGGCCCTTGTTTTTATTTTTTTGAGGCAGGGTCTCCCTTTGTAATTCAGGTTGGGCCTGAACTCACTATGTAGCCCCTGCTGGCCTCAAACTCGAAGTGATCCTCCTGCCTCTGCATCCTGAGTGCTGGGATTACAGGCGTGTGCCACCATGCCCAGCTCTTTTGTCTTGTTAGGAAGATTTCTAGAGCCAAAAAAATTAACAATAAGAAATTAAGGGGCTGGGGATTTAGCTCAGTGGTTCCGGTGCCTTCCTTGCAAGCACAAGGACCTGAGTTCGATCCCCGGTACCAAAAAAAAAGAAAGAAATTAGGCCAGGGATTTAGCGCAGTGGTTCTGCTGCCTGCCTCAAAAGCGCAAAGATCCGAGTTCGATTCCCGGTAACAAAAAAAAAAAAATAGAGTTGAATCACTACTGGCCTTTTAGACACAGTCCAGAATGTATTTCCAGAACTTCCTATAAGGTTTTTGCTTGTTTATTTATCTGACTTGGGATTAATCCTTAAGCATCTTCCTAAGGACAAAAGTTTGAAGCTTTTAGCACTGCAAGCGAGAGGCCTCTTTGGCTCACTTTTTAGTAAGTGTGTAAGACTTAGGCTTGTGGCTGAATGAATGGCCCCGCTTTGTCACTGCTGTGGAAAGGTTAGGGGAGAGATACGGTGATGCGGTCTATTGCCACACACACAGAGCGGTTCCTGGACGAAGGACAGCAAAGTCCTGTGGCCTGGCAGCCCTCTGTCCGCACTCCACAAAGCTCAGCACAGTCAGCAAGAAAGGGAGGCTTCCTGACGACGACACTCTTTCACTGATGGAGAATTTCCTGTCTGAAACACTTGGGGCTGGAGATTGGGGGTCAGGGGCTTGCTTATGTTTTGGGGATTTTGGAATATTGAGAAAGGAGACGTCTTCAGGATGGGACCCGAGTGTAACCATCTCTCAAACACCCCTGCACATACAGCTTTGCAGTGCCTGGCGCGGGGTGACCACCTAGTGCACTCCTGTTGCGTGACCACACACGAACAGATGAGATGTGCGGGTGGGAGAGTTGCAAACAGGTTTGTCTGGAAACGTGATCTTTCTGTCCCAAGTGTGTGTTCCGCTGGCCCCTTCAGACCTGGGGCTGTGGAGCCCGCTTGCTGGTGCTGTGGACTGTGTCCTGTCAGGACAGCACCCTGGGCGGGGACCACTGGGGGTCACTGACGCCCACCCCAAGTAAAAGGGTCGGCTTCGGGCCTTTGCTCTGACCTGTTTTGTTGACAGTGGTATTGTGTGCAGCACAGGGGACTGAACCCAAGCCTTCACACTGAGCTACTTCTCCAGCCCTCCTTTAATTTTTTTTATTTAAGACAGGATCTCGCCAAGTTAGCCAACTTTAGGCTCCAACTGGCAATCCTCCTGCCTGAGCCTCCCAGAATACTGGGATGACAGGTGTGCACTGCCACACCCAGCTTCACCTCCTTTAGTTGTCTGGGAATCGAACGCAGGGCCTCATACTTGCCAGGCAGGCACTGTGCCCCTGAGCGATATCCCTGGCCCTCATCTACTTTTAATTCAAATTAGCTCACCTCTTTTTGTGTGTTTTTAGAAGGGACCAAATTCCTTTTTCCTATTTAAGGAAAAAATCAATCAACAGGAAGTAGAGCTGTCTGCCTGTGGCTTTCCTGTGTGGGGGGAATCTTGGGTCTCTTTCATGGCCGGGGTGCTCAAACCACAGAGTTTAAGGACCCGTGAGTGACTCTGGTCTCCTCGGAGCTTTTGAGCGACCTCCAGAGCCTCCTCTCCTTCCTTGCAGGTGGACAACAGGGACTGGGCCCTGAATGGGAACACCCTGTCCCTGGACGAGGACACAGTCATTGATGTGCCTGAACCCTACAACCACGTGTCCAAGTACTGTGCCTCCTTGGGACACAAGGCGAACCACTGCTTCACCCCCAACTGCATCTACGACATGTGAGTAGGACACGGGTGCCCTGGCACTGGGACTGAGGGGGGCAGGTGAGAGGTGTCCCTAAGCCCGGGATAAAGGCTGCTCCCCGGAGTAATTGAAGGGTTTCTGCCTTGGGGCTCTGGCTTTCAACTTAAAACTCAAAATCTGCACAGCCCCCTCGCCCCTCCGGGCCTTGGCAAACTAAGGCCCTTGAATGTGCTTCAGAGAGTGGAAAGGCAATGAAGTAGTTAAGTCGCTGCTGATTTACTGTTGCCGCTGATGCCTTTTAGTTTCCTTAATTACAGGGAGCACTGGGGCTAGGGGTGTAGCTCAGTGCTAGAGAAACTGGTTAGTGTAAATGAGGTCTGGGTTTGATTCCCAGTACTGAAAGAAACAAAGCAAGGTTTTTGTCATTTTTTTTTCATTGCTTGAGAAAAGTACTTAAGAAAACAACTTAAAGGAGGAGAATTTATTTTAGCTCATAACTTCAAGCTTTCAGTCCATAGTCAGCTGACTCCATTGCTCTTAGGCCTGTGGTGAAGTGGAAACATCACGGAGGCAGAAGCGGGTGGCAAGGAGAGCTTCTCACTTCCGGGCAGCCAGGAAGCAGAGATTAGGGAGCCAGGAGGAGCCTGGAGACAAAATGTACCTTCAAAGCCACACTCTGCAGGACCGGCCACATCCACTTAATCCCGTTTCCAAAGAGCTATTAACTGAGGGGGTTAGAGCTCTCCTGTCCAGCCCCTTCCCAAAGCCCCGCCTCTTACACTGATGGGTTGGGGACCAAGCTAAGTGAGATATAAAATATACTTTTGAGCTCTGGCACCTACAAGGTTTTGAGGTTTGTTTGTTTTTTTTTTTCTTTGTTATGTTTTGTGAGTTTGTTTGGCTTTAGAGTACTGGGGATTGAACCCAGGGCTTTTCCACTGAGCTACATCTCCAGCCCCTTTTAAAAACTTCCACTTAGTTCCCCTAGGTCACTTGAGTTGCCCAGGCTGGGCTTGAACTTGTAGTCCTCCCGCCTCAGCCTCCCAGAGTGCTGTGATTCTGGGAATGCACCACCACACTCGCCCAGAACGTACTCTTGTAGATGCGTTGGTTTGTAACACCCAGCCCTGTGCCTCTTTCCCTCTCTCCTGTGCGCTGTGTCTTCTACACCGCTGCCCTACAAATACTTTAGTAGTTTTCCTGCGCCCCTGGAGTCTCTTCTTCCCAAAGCCCAGCGTCTCCAACTCTGGTTCCAGAGGATATAATTGGGCACTTATCCCGTCTTATCATCGCTTAGCTTGGCCAGAGTGCGCAAGCTTCCCACTTCTCCACCGGCCCGAGTGGGAGAGAGCTCCGTGTCGCTCTCCTGTAGGGCCCAGTCACCCCACTTGGTGAGACAGAGAGGAGCCATCCTTTGGGTGCCCCCTCTTGCTTCCGTGGGACTCTTCAAAGTCGTTCTGCCAGCAACTCACTCTCCTTGGCAGCTAAGAACAGCTGCTGGAGCTCCCACTCCTGCCTAAAGGGTGGGGAGAGATGGCAGAGGCCCCGTGTCATGGAAGGAAGTAAAAGCGAGCTGTTGTTAATGACAGGGCGTCCCCAGGTTCCACCCACTCTCTCTCGGAGCAAATCGTGGGAAATACTGCTTGGCTTCCTTGGGGTTTTTTTTTTTTTTTGGGTACCAGGGATTGAACTTGGGACCCTGCACTGGCCTCCTTTAAAAGGAGCCATTCTGTGGTCTCAGTGCAAGCACTCGACTTTCCTCACTCACCAAAAGGAAGCAAGCGCAAGGAGAGAAGAGAGGTTCTCAGGCCTCTGCTCTTCAGGCTTTGATTTTTGATTCTGTTGTTGCTTTGTAATTGTTTTGCAAGCCCAGACCTTAGCTGACCAATTCTTAGTTGTTTGGGGCGATGAGAAAACTACTCAACTAATAACCAAAATTAAAAGTTATATGCCAATTCATGGCATTTGCTTGTTTCTCAAACACTGGTGCTGGTCTGTACATTTTAGGGCTGGGGATTTAGCTCAGTGGTTCTGCCTGCCTCGCAAGCGCAAATCCCCGGTACCAAAACAAACAAAACACTGGTGTTGTTCTGTACCTTTTAAACTAAATGAAACCACACTCCCTTCAGCCATTCATGCTTTTGAGCTGCACCCGAGGTCGCTCTGGTGCCTCGGTCCAATGCCCCGGGACCCACGAGGCCGAGGCTTTCACCCTGTCCTGGGCCAGGAGAGAGGCTGGTGCTTCACCGCTGCGCCTCCCCCCCGCCCCCCCGCCTCCACGCTGCAAGCGAAGTTCCTTTATTTTCAATCTGCCCGCCATCTCCTCTCTGAAAATAATCATGATGAGCAGGAGCATGGATGTAAGAGAGGACAGAAGATGCCGTAGGCCGGAATTGGCACAGGATCAGAAGGTTAGCAGAGCTCCATGTCAAGAGCACTGTTTCTCTGTATGGAAATAATGGAATGGAAATCGCGATGAAACCTTTGGATTCAAAGACAGAATCGCAATTTTAACAAGGAATTCCCAAATCCCTGGTCTAGGCCTCTCCTTTTCTATGGGCACAGTCTGACAATGCTGTGCACTTACACACGTGTGCGTGCTGACAGACGTGTGCACGCGTGTGTGTTCATGTGGCCACACATGTTCACATGTGTACACCATGACCTCCCCCTCTGGTGCCACGCCCACCCCTCATCCCACATGTGTGTGTAAATGAACTAGAAGGATTTGGCTAGGCGTGCATGAAAACATGGGCTCCTTTCTGGCCAGTGCACTGCCTGCAGTCTCCCTCCATGGCTGCAGGAAGCTGCTCTCGGGTCCTGTGCCCAGACCCGGCCTCCCTCCCCCGGTGCTTCCCCAGGAGCCTGAACGAAGCAGATCGGCAGGGTGCCCTCATCTTTTCTGCTGAAAAATAATGCTTCCTCTACACAGTGAGGGTGGATGGCAGTTTTTTGCTGTTAGAAATCCACAAGGCTCTGTCATATAATCCCAAAAGCAGACTGGTGTCACCTCCCTGAGGCCAAGTGACAATGGCTACACGGGATCTAGTTTCTCACTAAGCACAGGTTTTGTTGTTGATCCTGATGCTGCTTTATAAGCACAGAGTACCTCATATGCTCAAAGAGGAAGACAGGGCATGTGACGTGTGGTGGTGCACATCTGTGATCGCAGCGCTCTGGGAGGCTGAGGCAGGAGGAGCCTGGGCAACTTAGCAACTTAACAAGATCCTGGTCTCAGAATTTGAAAAGGCTAGGGAAAGACCTGGGTTCAATCCCCAATGCTGCCCCACCCACCCCCCAAAAAAGCAGCACTGCTTTTCAAACGACCCTGAGTTGCCCGAGTGTAGAGGGCCCGGCCCAGTGGATCCGGGCCACCCAGCTCCCAGTGAGTGGTGCTAACGGACCTGCGCCCACACAGGCAATCCGGCCTCTTGCTGGCCTTCTCCTCTATAGACTGCTGGTCTGGCCCAGGGATGACTTTGTCACCTTGATGTCCAGGTTTGTCCACCCCCGTTTTGGGCCCATCAAAAGCATCCGCACCCTGAGAGCTGTGGAGGCTGACGAGGAGCTCACCGTTGCCTATGGCTATGACCACAGCCCCCCGGGGAAGAATGCGCCCGAAGCCCCCGAGTGGTACCTGCTGGAGCTGAAAGCCTTCCAGGCCGCCCAGCAGAAGTGAAAAGCCTGGCCAGGGCTCCAGACAGCTGGAAGGGAAACTCGGATCTATGCACTCCATTCACCCGCCAACGGGACAACCAGGGACTGCTCGTGCTGTGACATCACTTCCTCTCACCTGCTCGCGTACTAACAGGTCTGACTGCGTCCCTCGTACCGGATGTACAATTAGCTAGCCTTGCAACCACGGCCTGCCGGGAGGTGTTGTTGAGCCCTGGACACAGACAGCACGATGCTCTCTGGTGGTTCGCATCTAAATCTGTACCGCACTCAGAGATGCCAAATGACAGACTGAAAAAGGGAAACGGGCTTTTCCGTCATTTTTCATCGGTGGTATTTCCATGATGTTTTTCCTGTGGCCAATGCAAACTGGGCTATCACACTTGCATATGGGCCATCTCGGGGTAGAGGAACTACTACATCTTTATTCTCTTAGTATAATTTGCCTTTTAACCTTTGATCTGTATCTTGCAATAGAATGGCTTTGTTTTTTCCTCAGTGAACAGAAATCCACTTTTGAGTCATTTTGTCGATCCTGTTCCCGAGGTATCTTGTAGGAGAGAAAACCTCCCCACAGATTCTCCATCTGTGGTGCTGTGAGGCCTCTCTGCTTCTTTCTAGCTCATTTCATTATTACATCCTAAGATAAAGTACTGGCTCGTAGGGCCGACATATTATTGTAGAACTATTATTCTCGCATGTAAACAAAGGTATCTTTGCTTTCCTATGTGAGAAGAAATGAATTTCCTTTGTCTGCATTAAGTTATGGAAGAGTTGTAATATATACCTTAAGAAAGAGAGGAAAAGTAGTATTCCTCAGCTGTAACTGTGGCAATTTTGCAATATCTTCAATAGTGCTAGTAGTTTTCCTCCTTGGATACACTTTAAATGTACATAAGCTAGTACAGTCCAGCTTGCGGCGCCCGCAGTGCATTGAATTCAAAAGTCAAAATAGTGAACTTGAACTCTAATGCAGAAGGCAAAAATTTCTTTTAAATCAAGACCATAAAGGTGAACATACTGATCACTAGGTACAAATCAAACCTTAATGCTGACACTCTTCCTCGTCATAATTTCAAAGTACTTACCTGTGCTAGAGCATTGTAAGCTAAACATTCACAGCTGCGTAGTCTAAGAGCAGCAGCACAGGTAGCATTTCAGCTGTATTGCAAGCCACGTAGAATCACAACTCCAGAATAAGGAGAAAACGCCTGTTTTTAGTTTAGCGTACCAGGTCGTGACACCGCTGGGACTGCTCTGAATGAGTTCTGAGATTCGGGGGTTTTCATGGCACCCTCACCACAGCCCGGGCTTTTGTCTTCTCGCCACCTGCACACGAGGGCCGGAAGCTCTGAGAGTAGCGTTTGCTCTGTGCTTCAGCTGTTGGCAGCGCCCTGTCACCTGTGTCAGTTGGGCCGTGGAAGACAAAGCCTTCCCTGTGGCAGCAGAAGGTGGAGAGGGCCTGCTGGGAGCTGGGAAGAGAACGAGCCAGGCAGAGGGGAGCGCGCCGTTTCCTCGGCTGCACGCTGCTCTTACAGGCTTTCTGAGGAAAGTGCTGCATCGATCTGGGCTGCTCCCAGCTTCCAGGCCGAGGCAGCCCTCCGGGCCCTGACTGTGCCACCCTCGCCTGCTTCCAAGGCCAGGCTTCCGGGAGCCCCCGCCCCGACTTTGCACTCTGGAGCTGAGGGGCGGTCAGATCCCTGGCTGAAAGCTTCAGGGGATCATCTGCCCGGGAAAGGAAGTTGCCAGGGCTTCCAGAAAGATCTCCCACAGAAGGAACTCAGCGGAGTATCTGGATCAAAAGGCACCAGGATAGGATCGCTTCTATCCTGTAGAAAGAGACCGCTCTGTAAACTGTGACAGGTGGGGGGTGTCCCCAGATGTACAATCGGACAGGTGCTCAGTTTGTCCCAGAGTGAGTGACTGTCACCCCCTTCAGCTGGGCAGTGGCACCGGGTCGACAGCATGACAACCATAATCAAATGTGGCAGATTCCCAGTGGTGGGGAATAAACGGATGACTTTATGCTGTGCCTGGAAAAGCCAGCACCTGGGTGTGCGTGCGACGTCGCGGCCCCAGCGGGCTCCTACAGAGCTGTCCCAGCCCCACCCCTGCATGCCTAGATCTCTCCTTAGCATCTTTTCTATGATGAGATATTACCTTGTGTTAGACGTAGGAATAGGAACTAAACAGCAAAAGCACGTCCCCAGATGGGCTTTCATAGGGACTCACAGAACAACTGAAGGGACTGAATTTCTGACACAAAGGAGTGACGAGTTAAAAGGTAACAGGTGAGGAGGACTTGGGTCTTGTAGTACCTATTCTTATTTTAACCTGCTTCATCCCTGGGCTCCCTGAGCAACCAAAAAGGAAATTCGTTTTTCAAGACCTGTTTGAACCCATCCAGGACAAGAGTTAAAACTCTTTGTCCTCCGGAGTTCACCACACTTGAGAAACTATTTCCTTATCACCAAGAAACCAGAAAAGCCAACTTGGCCAAATGTAACCACCTGGGACGTTGAGTTGTGGCGATTAAATTGCACTGAGCCAGGGCGCTCACCCCGAATGCATGAGGCCCTTGGTTTGAACTCCAGCAGCACAAAAACTAAAACAAAATTGCATTGTGAACAGTGAATCAAGGGTTGTCTTAGTGACACAGTATGTGGCACTTTTAGTAACTCTCATTAAAAAAAAAAAAACTATAAACCACTTACTGCAAGATGCATTTAAAATCTTCAAAGAAAGTAGAGATGGAGTTCTTTTTTCAGTTGCCTCCAGTTTGTCTTGAGTCCTGATTTAGAATCCAGACATATTTTGTTTCAGAAAAACAAGCGAAACTATGTTGCAAGATGGATAGTTATAATGTTTATTTGCCACAGATCAAAGGTTCACAAAATATATTCAATTTGCATCTACTTCAGGTAAACCTGGATAGATCCCCCGCCCTTGGATTTTTCTCCCCTTCAGGAATTTGAAGCCTTGATGTCAGGTTTCGTTTTGTTTTGGGTTTTGTTTTTTTTTTTTTTCATTTAATTGTACTAAATTTTCCAAGTTTTCTTTGGCCAAATTGTGTGCATACATATTCAGAGCAATCAGACTATTTCAAGCCATACAACCACAGGGGTGGAAATCCTTTTCGCAAATTTTAATGTGTTTGTATGTAAATAGATGTTTGTATGAAATATTTTCATGGTAGAATGAATATATTTAAATGAAGTCAAATTACTCCAGTGCTATTTAAACACATCACAAGAAGTCTTTGCTGAGAATTCTCTGAGTCTATTGAGATACAATGCAGATCAATTTTGATTTTTAAAATCAAAGCCTACAAGTCCCTCTGACTGGTGGCGATCCCGGTGGAGAGAGCCGTAGGCTTCCCGAGTGCCTCAGCCGCTTCCTGGTAGTCAGCTCGGTGCTAAGGGAGGCGCGCTTGCCTTTCGCGATCTCCCTGCGGGCCGGGGCCTGGGAGTGGATCCGAGACGCGCGAGACCGGTGCAGTTATCCGGAGCACAATTCCCTGGCAGGGCTGCAGAATCCGAAGCCAGACTTGGCCGTGAGCCTCGGAGCCAGGTCCCCGGCCGCCATCACCTGCCACCCCCCTGCCGGCCACGCGGTAGGGAGGCTGCCCTCGGTGGAGTGGGAATCCAGCCTTGGGGGGACTTCACGGTCTTGCCAGCCGCCTCTGCCCGCCGCCCTCCGCCCTCCGCCTCCAGAGGGGGAAGGAGGAGCAGCTGCTGGCCCGGGCCGCCCTCAGCACACGTCCGGTCTCCGCTCTGGACGACCCCGCACCTCGGCCCAAAACTTCCAACCAGAGAGTGAGACGTCCTCGGTCACAGAGCCCCTGCGCCTCTGCCTGTGACTGGACACAGCCTGAAGTCATCCGCACACCGTCGCGTCCCTGACACACCTCCCGACTCTCCTGACTGTGTTCCTGGGGGTGGGGGGTCCTTTCTAATAATAGTTGACTTGAGTGAGTTGTTCTGTTTTTTCACTTTGGTCCTGGATATGATGAAATGACGAATATGATGGCAGGTTTTCACTGTGTATACTAGCAATATGAACACACGCCGATGTATCTTAACCCATCCACTCGGTTACGTTTTGGGTAACACTAGGATTAATCTGGATTCGCGTATGGAGAAACTACAGGGACTACGGAATGACTGCTTATCATATAAGAAAGTGATGTCCATGATTCTGAGCTCCCTACCACAAAAGTTTTTCCTCCTGGGTTTTCTGTGTTCTCTTTTTATCCTGAAATGCATTTCTTGGGTTGAGAGGTCACGTTTCGCGAGCAGAAGGCAGGGGTCCACTTTCGGCATTCATTGCAGCCAAAAGCAAACCCTGACAGAGTCAACAAGCATCCTTGGTCTTTTGTGGAATTTGAGCTAAACTATGAGCCTTATTCGATATCTATAATTCTATGGTTTCTTTTTTAATTATGGGGAATTAATGGAAGATGTTTACATGAGTAACGTTTGCCCTTACTGTGTTATGAATGAATTTTTTGTAGTGTGTCTGGGTGCATGTGCAAGAGAGTAGGAAAAACGTTTCTGAAACAAAACTTGACAAATATTTGTAATGAAAAGTAAATTTAAAGATTGCTATAACTGCGCTATAGAAACAATGCGAGTATTAAACAAAATACACAATCACCTGTCATTGTCTTTCTTTGCTCACCTGGGGCCAAAAAGCAGTAATGATTTCTTCTCTCTGCCTACCTGTAGATCTGAATCACTACACCCTGCCCTGCAAGACGTTTAGCTCTAGCAGCCATGAATGTTTCCAGAACATTCTAGACTGGGCTGAGGCACTGCGGATGGCAAGGGCCTGGCTGTGTCTCTGACGAGACTTCGCCAATGTCTACGTCACCAGGAGTGTCTGGGTGAACACACAAAGGCAATGGCAACTCACAGCAGAAAGGAAACAGGAGAGCTGGGGATTTGGTTCTGGTTCCACCAGCCGCCTTACAAGTGCAAGGTCCTCCGTTCGATCCCCAGTACCAAAAAGTAAGAAAACACAGGAGCTGGGAAGACACCAGGTAGATCTGGACAGCGTTGGAGGTATCTGGGCTGGGGAAACCAGGAATCTCTTCTCTTCAAATCACAGCCACTGTTCCCAACGCCCCCCTCCAGGCACCAAGACATGGAGTTAAACAGTTCCTCACTATGGCCAGGTACCATGGCAGGAACTGGGCCAAGCAAGGCCTCAGCGAGGAGCAGGCCGCAAGGCCTGTGTCCCTCTGTTGTCCATTCCTGAGTCAGGTCACACTTCCTTCTGAGGAAGAAAGGAGACCAAGACAAGTGTACTGACTGAGCCCAGACTGGTACTGGGCAGCTCCTCCAAGGGCACAGAGCATTCAGAGGCTGGCTGTTCAGTCCAGCCATGGGTCAGGCCATAATAACATCAGTATTCCTCTTCCTTATGGGGAAGAGGGGGCAGGGTTAACAAATTAGTACAAACTGAGATAATAATGAAAGAGCTAAACTCAAAAGTGAACCAGGCGTGATGGCATACACCTGTAATCCCAGCAGAGGAGGCTGAGGCAGGAGGATCTGCATGAGTTTGAAGCCAACCTGGCCTTCATAGTTCAAGGCAAGCCTGAATACATGGCAACACCCTGTCTCCAAAAAACTTAAATAAATAAATGACTCCCTAAGTGAAGGATCAGGCAGCTTTCACAAGGTGAGGTGATGGATGGTGTGGGCCTGGGGGTTGTAAAGAAAACTCCCACGGAAGACCTTAGTCTCAAGAGCCATCACATATGCTTGTTACCACCCCCTGGCTTTGGGTCCAGTGTCTGAATCACCCAGCCTGCTGGTTAATATTCATAGTGACGTGATTCCTGCAGTCACCTCTACAACATGGCCGCAGCCATTCAGGAGGGCTGATTATTTTATTCCTTTTTCTTTTGCTATTAAAAAAAAATCCCTAGGACTTGGTAATTTATTAAGAATACAGTTTTTTTTTGTTGTTGTTGTTTGTTTTTTTTAAAACAGGGTCTTGCTATGTAGCCCAGGCTGGCCTCAAACTCATGGCAATCCTCCTGCCTCAGCCTTCCGAGTGCTGGGATTACAGCCGTGCACCACCACACCCAGTTTTTCCAGTGAGCATAGTTTTTAAAACAAGCACATGGCGCTGGTGACTGCTCTTCTAGCTATACCTCCTGCCACAGTGAGACCGAGCACGGGTCAGCTCAGGGCTTTTCCTTTCTCACTGGTACTGGGGATTGAACCCAGAACCTTCCCCCTGAGCTACTCAAACATCCTGGTCCTTTTTATTTTTTATTTTGAGACAGGGTCTCCCTAGGTCACTGAGTTACTTAAACTGGATCCTCCTGCCTCAGCCTCCCAGAGTGCTGAGCTTACTGGTGTGCACCATGGTTGTGTGTGTGTGTGTGTGTGTGTGTGTGTGTGTGTGTGTGTGTGTGTGTAGAATTGAATTCCGGTTTCTTCCTATCCTCATAAAGCTACCAGTCTCATCACGGGGCCCCCACCCTGGTGACCTTAACACAAATCACCTTCAAATGCCATCAGGGACTGTTTCCAACATGTGACATTTGTGGACACATTCAAGCCACAGTAGAAACATCTAGTTTCAGCTCAGGGTTTTCAGTGAGAAGGTTCTGCTCCAAATATATTATACAAAATTACTCCCATCACTACCACCAGTTTGTTTTTCTGACACTGGAGCTTGAACCCCAGGTCTTTGCCCTACTACATCCCCAGCTGGCTGCTCCTGAAGTTTTGTTTCTCTGTGAAAACCAAAAGCCAGAGTCTGGAGCTCAGAACTTCACCTTTATAGAGTATAGTCCAGAGAAAGGGACTTGGAGTCATCTCCATTGCTACCACACTGTTACTTCTGCAAATATCAGAATGCTTCCAGCTTCAAGAAACATGAAAAGCCAACTCACTTGGCTTAAGTGATAAAGGTTCAGAGGCTCACATTACAAGAGGTGGTGGCTCACCCTACATTGAGTTAATACAGCACTTCAACCAAGTCCTGTTCTGCAATTCTCAGCTGTCAGGTTGGACCCCCGGAATCAGCTCTCCTCACGGCCACAACGTGGCTGCCCCAGTTCAGCCATTACAACCAGATCATAGGGCAGCCGGCAGCCAATGAAAAGGAAAATCTTCCATGGCCCTGTCATGGAGGAAGCTTAAACCAATCACTGGCAAGGACTCCAGGGGCATTTGATGATGTGAGGGTGGGGAGGATGAAGGGCCTGAATAAAGATGGGGCTCCTGCAGCAGGGCAGAAAGAGGAAACAACTGATCATCTCCTCATCGGCATCCTGGGTTTTGTTCTTTTCTCTTCTTGGGGAGGCAGGGCAGAGGGTGTGTGATGGGATCAAACCCAGGGCCCCACATGTGCCCACTTGGGTTCCATCCCAGTCTATACCCCAGCCTGTTTTCTTCAAAGAAGATGGGTTAGTCCCTTCAAGCAAGCCAAGTAAGTGGATTTCCGATGAATTCCAATCTATTTAGAGGATTTGCCAGCGGAGGCTGTGAAGGAGGTTCCACAAACATGACTTCTTTACCTACAGTTTGTTTTAGATTATTTGTTTCATCATCTCAGCAGCCATAAAACATAGTTACTGTTATCTACCCATTTTACAGTATGTGGGGGGATTGAGGCACAGAAATGTTAAGAACCTTTCTTTAAATAACACAGCTAGAGAACCAGGAAGTAGCAGCCAGGTGTGATGGTGCATACCTATAATCCCAGCACTTGGGAGGCTGAGGCAGGAGGATGTGGTCTTCACTAACATGAGGACTTCACTGATTGCCCTGCTTGAAATGCAACCCTCTCCACCCCCAACATCCCGAAGCCAGTTTACCCAGCCTCTTGTTCATCATCTTACTACTTATGTTCTAATAACATACTGTGCAAGTTGGTTACCTAATGTGTTTTTGTTTCTTGGTTTTGTGAGACAGGGTCACACTATGTAGTTCAGGCTGGCCTTGAAGTCACAGCAGTCCTCCTGCCTCAGCCTCCCAAGTGCTGGGATTATAGAATATGCCACCACACACAGCTTATTTAGAAAATATTAGAAATACGGAACACTGCAGGCATCTGTGTGTCCTCTCTGAAGGTCCCTGCTAACTTCCGTGTCTGTGTTAGCTTTTCACCACCGTGACAAAATACGTGAGACAATTTAAAGGAGGAAAGGTTGACCTGGCCTACAGTTCGGAGGTTTCAGTCCATGGTCAGCGGGCACCAAGACAAAGATGTCACAGCAGCAGGGTGCGGTGGCCCAAAGCTTGCTCACTTCACAGTGGGCAGGACACAGGGAGCAGGGACCAGGGACGGATGCACCCTCAGAAGCTACCCCAGTGCCCACATCCTTCCATGGGTTCCGTTCTCTGTTCCAATCACTTCCTACTGTGCCATCAGCAGGGGACTGTGGTTTCGACCCACGAGCTCTTGGGGAACATTTACGACCCAAACATAGCTGTGATGGAACTCTTGTAATCCCAGCCACACAGGAAGCAAAGGCAGGAGGATCACATGTCTGAGGACAGCCTCAAAATTCACACACAGCTAGTCCAAGACCCTGTCGGACTAAAAAGGGCTAGGGGTGCGGCTCAGTGAGAGAACTTGGCTAGCATATGCAAGGCCTTAGGTTTAATCCCAGCACAGAAAAACCATGAGAAGATACTGTTCCATTTTAGTACAGCGTACCTGCTGCCAAAACAAAGGTTAGCAGCTTTTGTTTTGGTTTTGGCACCAGGATCAAACTCATGAGGCTTATTTGTTATTGTCTTCCTCCTCTCTGCAGAACGGACAGTGGTTTTGGTCTGCTCTGTTCACTAACACGTACTTAGCATCTGGCATATAGCAAGCACTCAAGAAATATTTGGGGCCGGGGATTTAGCTCAGTGGTTCCGGCACTTGTCTCACAAGCATAATGTCCTGAATTCCATCCCCGGTACCAAAAAAAAAAAAAGGAAGAAGAAGAAGAAGAAGAAAGAAATGCGTGGAGCATGGACGTGGAAGCACCGGTCTTCGTTTCCGGAATCACGTTCTGTTTGTCCTCCACCCAACACATCTCTGAAGCTTCGCAGCCCAGCTCCCCGGCCATGGGACAAACTGATCCCTGCTCTGTCCGCCAGGGGGCGACGGTAACAGTGCCGGAAGAGGTAGGGCTGGATCTGGGGTCTAGGGAGACTGCAAGTCACAGGGACCGGGAAGATCCCAGTGGGGAGGTCCTGTGATGGGTGCCTGCGGACCACACGGAAGCCAGACCCAAACCTGGAATGCGACAGAAAGTCAAAAAAAGGAAGTAAAAGCACTTTTGGGTGTTTTGTTGTTGTTGTTTGTACCGGGGATCGAACTCAGGTCCTTGTGCTTGCGATGCAGGCTAAAAGTACTTTTGTTTTTAAAAATATGCGACGGGGGACTGAACCGGGGTGCACTACTCAGCTACATCCCCAGCCCTTTTTAGTGTTTAGTTTGAAATAAAAGCTCATTACATTGCCCAGACGAGATTCAAACTCAAGACCTCCTGCCTCATCCTCCCTCACAGGCCAGCACAGCAAGTCGTATTTGTTCAACGCGGTTCCCAGCGGGTCCCCAGGACAGGTGCCACCTGCCCTTCAGCGGGAAGCATGGGGACAAGAGACTGGAGCAGGTAGGCTGGGGGGGCGCTCGGCA